GATAACACTTACCTTATGGGATGTTTGGTTCCAAGTAACAATGTCACACTTGTCCAAACTTGAGCAAAAGAAAATGGATGAATCAAATGGCTGAAAATCAGCTATCAGAAAAATTTGACTGTGACAACTTTGGGTGCATAGGGCAAATTCCTAGATGGTATTGACGTTTAGGTGATTTTTGCATTTCAGGTTGTTCATATGCAAAGCTTGTACTTGTGTCATTCATATGTAATGGTATTTTACCTCATCAGACATTTGCCTTTTGGATGCATCTTTCATTGCAGGATGTGGATAAACCATGTGACACAGTCCTGCAACAGGTCTCCATTGAGGAGATTCTGGAGGAGCAGCGGTTGAAGCAGCAAACTAAGCAGGAGACTGAGAAAGTGAAGATGCAGGTCCTGAAAGACAGAGGCCTCTCCATCCCCAAAGCTGATAACTTGGATGAATATTAAAACGGCCTACAGCCCATGAGTTGCTTCAGTTTGTATCAGACTGGTATCTTTTTGTATCAGACTGGTATCTTAGTTGAATTTGATAACATGATTTTATGTGCACAAGGCAACATTTTACTTTGCCTCCTTACTGTAGTGTACTGTATACATTTAATTTGAATGCACTTCTCTCTGTTTTGCAGGTCAACCATTTGTTGTAGCTCACTATGATAGCAATTATTTGACAGCGGCACTTTGTGTTACTCAATCAAGTGTTTGTAGTTGGAGATACTAAGGCCTGGTAGTGACACAAAGGTAATGGTTATGCTCCATTAAAATGTTATTTTTGTCTCTCTTTCACTCTCTTTGTTCCCTTTCCATTGTAAATATGAATATCAATGAAGCGTTCTGGAAGAAGCATCGATCACTGTGTTTTAATTTCTTATAATGCTAATAACTAGCAGAATGTGTCTCATAAACTTAACCCAAGTAAAACTAATTCCTCAATTATTTTATTAAGGGGGAAAAAACTAAACCTACCAGCTCCTGTGTGTGTGCGCATGTGTGTGTGTGCGCACGCGCATGCGTATGTGTGCGCACCTGTAATTTTTCATTCAGGGAAAGGTATGTTTGATTTTGTTTAAGAAAATCATTTAGAAACTGCATATTTACTGGAGTTGTGAAATAAGATTGTTTTGAAAATCTGAAGCATTTGCCATTACAATGCAAATAAATTAGGACTTTTTACAGCACTTCACACTAAAGACCAACTCAGTCCAGTTTTAATGTGTAATATCACTGTCACCACTAGATGACAGACATGTCTTAGTTGTGCTTACACTGGTTACAAAGTGCAACGTAAATAGTAGTCGGAATGATATGCAGGACATACTACCTCAATAATATAAACATTATGAGTGTGTTGATTTTTGTCAAAATTTTCAAAATAAATTTTTGCACTTGTTTAGCAGTTTTGTGCTGTCCTTGAATGGTAATGTTTATGCAAGAGTCCTGTACTGGGAAAAACTAGCATTTAGTTGTTTTGTTGTTCGGACAGTGAATCGTATATGCAAGCATTAAAAAATGTATTATCAAAAATAAAATATATCAAGCGCATGTATTTGGTACTTAACATACACATGTATTTTGTTCATATTGAAAATGGCATTTTTGTCATACATCAGGTTAGAAAGCGTGTGGTCCTATGTGGGCCCAAAAGTTCCTTTGATGAAAAATCAAGTACTGTATTTAAGTTGCCCATCGTTCAAAAATGATCAGATCCCCCCGAAAAAAGAGAGAATAACACCATTTCATAGACTTGATATTAGAAGTGATGTTTTAATGTAGGTCCGGAATTCTTGCAGTGGTGAATCCAACAGAGGCCTTGGCTGCTTGCCACTGGCCACGAGATTATTATTTTTAACTTTTGAAAGCGCTATACAAATAAAGATGTATTTTATGTGCTTTTCTTTTTTTTATGTGCCTTGTCTTAATATAGGTTTGGGGAAACACTGTTCTCAAGCAATACAAGCGTCAATGTCGGCAATAGGACTTATTTTACTTTCAACATTTACAAAAAAAAAAAGTGTTCTCTTCCGGTGAGTTTAACCTTAAGTGGGCTTGACACAGTTGGGGGCCGTTGGTCCAGCCCACTTTTGATGACGTACCAATAGGGCAGAGGAGCGCACTGACGTCCCCTTTGCTGCACTCAGCCAACCTCTGCCGCCGAAACGTGAAGCTGTCGGTGTCCGCTGGTGCGCCGCCGTGAGAAATCCACCGAGGAGTCACACACGTTTCTCCAGATTGGTTCTTCTATACCCTGGTGGACATATTTTGTAGCCGAATATCACGCATGGGATGGCTTTGCGGTAGTAGAAATGCAGCGGCGCACTTTCATCCCACAACAAGAACCATGCCCGTGTTACACTGCAAGCAGACATATGACATCCTTTTTGATCTCATACGACTTTGTCAATGAGTGAAATTTGCTTGGCTGCTAACAAGGAGTGAAGACGCTTTTACGCGGGCCTTGCGAGCCCAAAGGACAGTGGTTTCGCTGCAGACGTCTGTGCAACGTGAACCTCTGCATTCGGGATTTTTTTTCTTTTCCTGCTCCTCTTGTTTTTGTTTTCTTTCTTATTTTGATGGAGCTGGAGAACATCGTGGCCAATACTGTACTGCTTAAAGCAAGAGAGGGTAAGTTAACGCACCAAAGATGCAAGTGTGTCTGGTTCTTTCTCGGTGAAATGTGTGTCAAGATAAGCTAGGCAGAGCTGGTCAGAACTGCAGGTAAACCCCGCCAGATGATTTCCACACCTTGTGCAACGTTACTGCCAACGTTTGAAACGATTCACAGCGAAAACCATCATTCTCAATACAGTACGCGTTTTCCTCTTGTGCGTAAGAGCAAACCTGCTTCCCACATCCGCTTTCCGTCACTGCGAAAATGAGTGCGCTCCCATTGCACGAAAGGACACACACAAGCATTCACCGATGCAATCAATAACTATTATCTTTTGAAAAATGTACAGGGAAACGAAACCAACAGATGCGCTATCAGCTAGCTGGGAGTGGAAAGGCCGTCATAATGGTGATCAGATCTGAGAGATTTGCATACAAGTAAAATTAAATACGATCCTGGATTTAAATGCCTTTTTTGCCTTTACTTTATTGCCATAGTATGAGATTGTCCTCTGGCAATCAAAGTACAGTATAACATCTTCCTATGTATATGTATTTTGATCAACTCTTTTGATCAACAGCTTTATTTAGTGTAATAGTTAAATCAAAAAGTGTCTTCAGATAATGCTAAAGTTGAAATGATACAGTCAGACATGCAGAAAAGAAACAGTTTTATTGGTTTAAAATGGTGGACAACTGCTCTGGTCATATTATTTCAACAGGGCCGTTTCAAGATAACAACACATCTCGGGGCACAACCACTCCTTACTGTCTGATATCCTTTATTAATTAATTTTTTTTTCATTCACTAACAGTGTTATAAATCGTACAAGCAGCCCAAATGATATGTTTCTTTATGAACTCTAATTGAAGTTATAACATTTTAATTGTTACATGGTTGCGTAAAGTCGCTCCAAAAATTGCTCAGATTCTTATTCCTGCTTAGGTTTGTTTGAGTTGTTGCCACTTGTTGCTAGAGCTCAGAGTATCCGATCATAACTGCCAATAGGGATATGGAAAAATCGGCAGATGACGGTTCACAAGACTGTTTGAATTTGGCACTGAACCGCTGGATAGATGCTTATAAGAACAGGAAGCAAGACGTACTGTACACGAAAAGGAAATTACTCCAAAACAGCACTGTAAGATGCCCACTTGCAGTCTCTACTGGTTTCTTATACAGTTGGTGCCTTGAAGGACGAGTTAAATTTGCACTAGTGGGCGAGTCATTCCGGCACTCATCATTCCGTCATTATTTCAGGCTGTCCCAGTCTGTCTGTCATTGTCGGCGACAGCCAATCGGCATCGACAGCGTACTTACTACATCACACACAGGCGCAGCACAAGCAGAAACGGGTTAATAAAACAAAACTGTGTTGTACTGTATAGCTTTCGGTTCCACACATCACAATGACATCATCCCGTATTGTTTCCAGTTCATCACTTTGCAAATAATCTTTCCCCACCCAGTGGAAATGAATGGAATTGGAATTAATCCCTTCTACCCTCGCCCCAAAACCGCCTAATATTTTTTAACATGTTTTTTTGAATAAGAAAAATGGAACTTATCAGCACAGTAATTCTTTTTCTTTAATAGGGTATATATATGCGTTTGGCAAACCATCTTAATGGTCCATTACCAGCGCTAACTGATACTGTATAGTCTTTCCACTGCAACAAAACCAATGTGAATTGATGCTTGCCGGATGATCTGCAGTTTGCTGCTTATTATGTCCAGCACTTTCTTACAGCTGCGGCTGTTGTGCAGTGATGTATAAATACATGTAAGTTGAGTGAACTAAATAGTTTCATGACATTCGCATGAAGAAAGGCATTTCAGTTTTTATTAAAAGCCAAAAGTAAACAGAAAATCACTTCTGCCGGAAATTGAAATCATGCCAGAAAAATAATCACCCTTCTCCAATAAAACCATTTTAACTAAAGCAAGGTTCATCAACTTTTTTGAAGCTGAGAGTGTAAAACGTAAAAGATAGTAGTAGGTGTGTGTGTGTTTGTGCACACGCATGTGTGCAGGTGTGTACATTTTCAGATGAGTTTATATATTAACTTTAATTCTGTAACTATTTTGATCGAAGTATTTCGTTTTATTTAATTTTTAACCTAACTCAGCTGAGCACCAACCACAGCCATGACCATCATTAATACCTTTTAGGCAGTGTTATACAAAATCTAATTGATTGATTTTTGTATTAGATCGTATCGATGAATCTGTTTTTCTGGCCAGTGTGTGTATTTCTCCTTTATTTATGTTCCCCCACCCACCACCACGAGAAATAAAATTACCCCATAGTGCCCACGTTAATCTGCTCTGATTTATCAAATGTGCCCTTGTGTCACAAAAACAAATGCGGCAGCACACGGGCTCTTGTATCAAAAGCATCTGTGGAGTTGCGCCGTGACGCAAGAGTAATCTGCCCTTTGGGCAGTCAATTTAGCTCACCGTGCCGACTTATTTCGGAAAAAGAAGGGCATCCTGTGTGAGTGGATTTTGTGGAAATTAATGGCAAAAATAAAGTGAAACAGAAAGCCTCCATGCTACGAACACCCCAACCAATGGATGTGTTTGCCTATAGGTCAGACTGGGCATTTGTTTTACGGAAGCAGAGCATGACTGGGCCGGGAGAATCAAGCTTTGCAAATTAATAAGAGCAGTTAATGACCCATGACATATCTTGCTTGTCCCAGCTGCTCCATTGGTCCTTTTCCAGTCTCTGGCTGTGTGTGGGAGAGGAAAGGCAACGGAGATTCCCACATCAAGGGATGAGATGGCCCTTTGAGTTGCTGAAGTCTAATATTCTCCGTGGTTTGTGTACTGTAACTGGGAGAGTGGGCCAACACTTGAGTTCTATTGGTTTAATCTTACAAGGGCCAGCGTGTATGGCAAAGGGAAAGCCCTTTTTTAGGTCACATGTCAGCGACATTGGGAGAATGAGGCAAAAAGTATTTATATTTTGTTGCATGTTTGTTTATGGGAGAGCCAGTGCAGAGCCCTGAGGCATCCTTCCTCCCTCCAAATGCGCTCTGGCCATGACTGTCTCACAACCTCAAAATCAGAAATAAACCCCTGCATGTCAGTGAAGTTTAGAAATAAAATTCTGTTGATGTTTAAGCCATTTGTGGCCAAATAGGCCCTCTGCCAGCCTTGTCTTATTGACGAATACATCGTAGAAATGTTCATCATGGAATTTTGATCTGTTTCATTTCTTTCCCAACGAAGAAAACATGAGTCATCTTGTATTTGCAGTGGCCCACTCACCAGCAGAAAAACAAAGCAATCACTTACATAAAATACCAGAATGGTATTTTGCTTCATCACTTAGACGCAGCCTATCAGCTATCTAATCAGATTGATTGTTACATAACAAACTGAGTGGGCAACTGCCATCCGATCTCCATCTTCCTGTGGAGCCGCTCTCCGCTCTCTGTGGAGGATACTTTATGGATGATGAGTGCGTGCAGTGAAACAAAACACCCTGATCTTTTAGCATGGTCATCCATGTATCACTTGACTGCCGCTCTCAATCTTTTGACAAAGCCATCACTTGTCTGTATGCTATGCATCATTTGAGAAAACTGTTGGTGTGACAGCTGATCAACAGAAATCTCAATCCTCTGACAAAGCCATCACTGTCTGTATGCTATGCATCATTTCAGAAAACTGTTGGTGTGACAGCTGATCAACAGAAAGAAAAGCATTCATGTCCGACATGGCTGAATGTGTCACAGTGATGTGGTTGAACATGCCCATTTAATAGCAGCTTACATTTAATAGCAGCCTGGCCTCCCCATTCACAACTCCTCCCGGCAGCGGTTGTAAATTCCAAAACTGGCAAACGTCATTGACTGTTGAAATGAATGAGAGTACAGGGGGGGAAAAAAATGAAGCGCTGTATCCAGATGGCCTCACTAAATTATGGTAACAGAGCGGGAGTATTTAGTTTGGGCTGCAACTGACTAAATTCCTCTCTACTGCTGCCTGCTGGCATTTTCATACTGTTTCCTTGTGTCTGATACAAGCAGTTCAATAGTACAGTAGCTAAAACGATTTAGGCCACGTTTGGACAAGAATGAGTGTGTAAAAATGGGAGTTTTTGTTGCTTTGTGTTTATGAAATGCTGGTGTATACATGCACTTGAAATGTTACTTGTTTACACGAAGGTGCAAAAAATACTTGATGGCGCATCAGCCACTTGTACTCCTGCTCTTATTCAGTGTATTAAACGTAGTTTTAAAGGTGACACAAGGAAATGTTGCTTTATTCATTTTTGTATAGTACAGTTGTAACAAAGACCGATTGGAACCAGAAAAAGCAATTTTTGATTTAAAAGATGCAATTGTATTAAATCAAACCAAATCTAATCATTCCATTTTTAAATATATGATGCTATGTATCGAATCGCCTTTAATTGGACGGATATATCTTCGAAGGAAATGGCATATTAGTTTACTGATAAGTTCAATCAAATTTATGTAAAATGACAACAAAAAAGGAATTGCATCATACAATCCCGAACCAAGGTGTACCATATCGAACTGAATCGTAATCCCACTGAGTTGAAATGTTCTCCATTCAAATTGAACCATCCTTGAGTCGTTTCACACCCCACGTAATGAAAACCGTATTGAATCATATTTTGTGGAGCTCCACTGTTGCAAAGTTTATTGACTTAATTACTAGCTCCACACCATGTTTCTGAGCCAATGGAAGCTTCGCAGTTTGACAGACCGTAAAGAGTGAAAGAGACATTTTGACACCGTGGCTGAAGACCTGCGGGGTCAAAGTCAAAAGGTAAGCAGAGCTTGAGTTTTAGCGCAGATTAAAACGTGTGTTACCAGCATTAGCGTTGATCATCAGGTTATGATGTTTGGTTAAGTTCTTGATGTTGAGAGGGGTGTTTGTGTTCACAATGTCATGAGCCACCCTGTTACACTCACTGTGATGTGTATTGTGGGGACTTGCTGATGAAATGCTGTCATCACAGGTCATATGCAAT